GTAAACATCAGGGTCAAACTCCAATCGAGTCAAGTTTTGTGCCGCGGCAGCAAGATGTGATTTCATCTCAGTTCTTGCCATAAAGTTTGAACTGGGCCAACTTTCAGACTTTCTAACCACATTCTTGTGGTAATAAGCCTCCAACAGATAGAGAGATAAGACCGGAGTCCACAGTTTCCTCGAGATGGAGATGTACCGCTCCTTGAGCTTAGCTAGATTTAGATTGGCCTTGGCTTTGTTTACTTTGGACTGAGATTCTGCTTTTCTCTAGCGACATCCGGAGGTTTTCTCATCTCAAGTACTACAAGTAGAAATGTAGGAAAACAAGAAAGCAATGAAGGAAAGTCATCACAAGAGGAGTTCTTTAGAGCTTTAGTACTGTTGGTGCATAAGCAAGGTTCAGAACCGTGTTGTTCTCTCATTACTGTAAAAAGGGAAAGAAAACAATTGTTATTGACCATCAGGGCTGTGTGGCTGCTGTTGTCATGGTTTTTTCTCTTTCATTTGAAATCTCAGAAGTGGATAATTGAACTGGTCAAACAAACGACTTATTCAGAGGAGGAAATTGGCCTATTTCACATAAATACTTCTTAATTGCATCCATGTGTGAAAGAATTTTCCACAAAACTGTAAGATAAGCAGCAAACGAGTCGGCTGTGGAGTGCAACAGCATCTGCTGCGAGAAAACCACAAAGAGACGAGTGGGGATTTGAAATTCACCGCAGGCGAGAGAAAAGAGAAAAGGCCAACACTTTAAATCTCCTCAAAAATATGCAGAAACCTTTCATAATTGAGGTCGGAGGTAGACATGGTTTAATCATTGTGAAGGCTCGGGTCACCACATCCATCTCTGGGATATGTGTGCAACAGGCTCGGCCATCCATCATTTACTCTGGGATTTATTAGTCAGGTCTGAAGCCGGAGGATGGGAGGTTAAATGAGGAGCATTGTGTTAGCTCTTATCAGTGGAGAGAAACTAAAGTGGGTCTGTGCTAATCCACACACACACACACACACACACACACACACACACACACACACACACACACACACACACACACACACACACACACACACACACACACACACACACACACACACACACACACACACACACAAAGAGGGAGAGATGTTTAATCAACGTTGTGGATCTGGTCGCTTGAGCTGAAAGTCAAATAGAAAGCCTAACACAAACATGCATGAGTCAAACAGTCACATAGTTGTACACACACACACACACACACACACACACACACACACACACACACACACACACACACACACACACACACACACACACACACACACACACACACACACACACACACACACACACACACACACACACACACACACAAGTCCATAAAGACTTATAAACACCCGGTCTGATCCGACCACATTAACAGAGTTCTTTAGCTCCGACGTACCAGAAAGCACACTCACAGGCTGACTCAGGCCTCCACGTGCACGCTGCTTGGTGTTAGCGGCGCCACAAAAAGAGGGCAGGATCGCTCCGGGGCACCACACAACAGCTCATCACTGAGATTGGGGTGCAGCCGCTGTCGGTTTGGCTCCAGATTCAGGTTAAACGCCTCCAGCTCAAACAAAACAGGTTTGGCACTATGCGGTCGCCAATGTCACATGATGCGTTTTACCTTTTTCAGTAGGAAAAGACAAAAAAAATACAACCAAGTGCTGCAAAGGCTTTTATAACAAGCTGCAGCTTAAAAGCTTTGCGGGCGTACTAGAGTGTTTTTTTTACATTAAACTAAAAAACCAAAAGAGTGCGAGTGGAGTGTGTGTGTGTGTGTGTGTGTGTGTGTGTGTGTATTAGTCCTCTCCATCTCACCAGCTTCAAATCCAAAGCAATTAGAGTGGCCAGATGGTGGGCTGGACTCTCAGTAAATAGCTGTATTGACAGAAGAAGCTTGCAACAAAAACGAACTGTGACAAGGAGCCAGGGTGACACACGGATACATGACTGCATCAAAAGCAGTGGGCAAATATGGAGGGCATGCCGCCATAACTGCCACAAACCACCCGTCACCCTCACGGAGCTCCTAGTGGCAATTTGAAAAAAATCCCTTTAACAAAACGAGGCAGGTGTGCACATGCGTGCATGAACACTCACTAGCACTATCATGCACAGGCAGACATCTTCGCTTGCCCTTCTGTTATATCTCGACAAAACTGGTTTGGTTTAGTCAGAGTCCAAACAATGCAGCCTTTTCAGAGGCTGCTCCATTCAGCCAGGTTCAGCTTGGCCGGCACATTCCCCGGCTGAAAACACAAACGGCCTCCCCGCCAGGAAAACCGCCGGAGCTGCAGCGACACATTCCTCTCCCCTCTCCCTTTTTCTTCTGCACAGCTTGTTGCAGGAGAGTTCCCAGGGCCCCCACCGGGTGCAATAACAGTTCGTCTTCTAGAAATAGGAGCAAAAGCGGGCCTTCCTCACTTCTAATTACCCACATGCTCAGGTGAGAAGCCTGATAGAAGCTTGTGCTCTTTAAAGCAACTGGAGCATCTCTGAACATTAGAGAGGCAACGCTCTTACTTCAGCCTGCTAGGACAGATGTGCAAAGCAGAGGTTAGGAGGAGGAGGAGGAGGAGGAGGGGGGGAGGGTTAGTCCACAAAATTTATTTTCTTCTAAATCTTGAGCCGAGAGTCACGTTTCTCCTGGGTTTATCCAAACTAAAACGAGACTAACGGCCACACCGGGAAATGAGTTTAAGGGTCGTTACCAAGAGACCCGGGGGTCACTTCATATCCCGATCAATTAATCTATAAATCTAATCAGTGGGAATCAATAATCTGGCTCTTTAGCTATCCGACTAATCTCAAGAGTTTAAAAGAAAAGGAGGAAAAACACAAGAACACTGAAACATTTCAAAAATCAGGAAATCTTTAATAATCAACCAAATACGAAAAAAATACAGAAAGACGACAAAATCGTGACAACAACTCAGATCCAGTGTCTTTAAGACCAAAATAAAATCAAAATAAAATACAAAAAAGATCAAACTTTTATTTTTTCTTCGGATTTTTAAAACACAGAGCAGTAGATAAAAGCACATTTTGGGTTAAGACCGTTTCCAAGTGTGTGTGTGTGTGTTTGTGTGTGTGTGTGTGTGTGTGTGTGTGTGCGCGCGCATACAGTTCACTTGTACAGGAGACGCAAACTTTGCCAGGTTTGGCAGCAATCACAGCGCAGCAGTCGAGAATAAAGCACTCAGAAAACATAACTTATAAAGCACTGCAAAATAACAGAAGAGAGACGATAATAGAGGAAAATAAATCCTTCATGCTTGCCGTCACCGAGTAATACACAAACGTGACACCATAAATTAGTCATCTTTTTCTCTGCTACATATTTATATATTTATACTATGTACACAGGAAGGTTTTCTCTTTTTTTCCTGCTGTGGGACTGAGATGGAGGATGTTAAGGCTTTGATTTGTCGTCAGACGTCTGGAGCCGAAACAAACAAACAGGAAGGATGCGGCTTTCTGCAACCAGCGAGTAAAAACGCCGTAACCTCGTGCTGACACCTCGGCTGGAATTGCAGGGTTCTCTAAAAGCATTTTGACCAAGAAGCCTTACTTTGAAGGTGGGGTGGATGTTGTGCATGTGTGTGTGTGTGTGTGTGTGTGTGTGTGTGTGTGTGTGTGTGTGTGTGTGTGTGTGTGTGTGTGTGTGTTACGAGGACTCAAACAGCTCAAGCAGGATAAGCGACTCTCCTGAAAGCGTTTGGGACGTGGAGGTCAGTGCAGTGGCATTTTCATGAAAGAGATTCCCACGTAGAACAAAAGCTGGATGATAGATATTCATTTTAAAAAGGCAAGCCTCCCCGACACCGGCTGAAAGGCGCTCGCCCCGGAACGGTCGGTTCTGCATGGTCACATGCAAGGGCGACGTCCTGCAGCAGCTCTTCTCAGAAACACGGGACACGGTATCTGACACGGCCACTGAGCAAGAAGAGGAGGAAGAAGCTTTTTGTATGTGTGTGTGTGTGTGTGTGTGTGTGTGTGTGTGTGTGTGTGTGTGTGTGTGTGTGTGTGTGTGTGTGTGTGTGTAGCTATGCAAACACATTTGTGTGGGCTTATGTCAGAGGATGGCAGAGTTGTCAGGTATGAGGAGACTGCTGCACAGTTTGGCTGTGGGAGTGAGCATGATGAGAGCGACTGAAGGGTGTTTGTGTGTGGGCGATTGTTTCTCTACACTCTCCAAATGTATACGTGCAGCATGTGCGTTTTTTAAAATGCACAATAATATTTGCAGTTTGACACTTTAACGGCAACAGAGCGGCTACTCGGGTTACAGCCCCAAAAACACAGAAAAAGATGTCCAAAACGCCTGAAAACACACGGCCACTAGACTACAGCACACAAACTCGGACAGCGGTGCGTTTAAGGTCCGTCGGATGAATTGTGTGCATCTTTTGTCCTGTGCTAAGTATCAAGTCAACAAAGGGTAAGAAAACTAAAACGTGCTGATAATATGAGAAGGTAGGCAATTTTGAGCATAAAATGGAGTATTTTTGTCAAGCCGATTCTTCAGCCTCTACCGAGGTTCTCGGGTTAAAAATTACATTCGGAATGACCTCTGTGACCTTTGAACTTTAGAGGAAAGTCAAACCGGACGTGCTCCCTTTCAAACTCCACCGGCTCCATCCATCCGATATTTACATTTTCATAAATATCCACATTTTCACAAGAAAATATAGATGAGTACATATATAATACACAGATACTTCACATCAAAATGTACATACAAGTGTTTCGCCCCGCATCTGTACCCCCCCCCCCCCCCCCCCCCCCCGCCCAGAGAAACCACTCTTCCCTCTCATTGTTCCTTGAAGCCGTGACAAACACAAGTGCAAAAATAAGTAATACATTTTTATATTGAGTGGTTGTGAAATCAGCTGTGTTCAGTACATTTACGTCACCCCAGGTCGACAGGACTCGCATTTATGTACAAACTAAGGCCATTAGATGATAATCCTATTGAACACGCCGGCTTACAAGACGCCAGACGGAGCTCAAACACTAAACGCTTACTCAGTTTACCTCCTGTGTTTTTTCCTCGTTCTCTCGCTCTCTCTGCCTGTGTGAAGGTTAACAGGCGTCAGCATGAAAACAAAGACCGTTTCCTAAAAACGCAAACACACGGCGCGCCTCTTAAATCTGCAGGACAGGGTTAAAAAGTCACGCTAAGGAATGCATGCATGCATTATCCTCTTTATCCTTGGGAAAGGGTCAACCCGTTGACGTGGTGACCTCCAGTAAAATCCCGTTTGGGGCTCACCGAGGTCAGTCCACTCCACGCTTGGCCGATTCCCAAGGGGTGTCAAAGCGAAGTCGATTAGGAAGCTCGCGATCATAGCTCCTCTCCACTCTCGCCCAGGTACTTGGACAGATGCAAACGTTCACACGGAGACTCTAACGCGGCAGCGGGCAGAAGCCATAGAGAGCGTGCCAAAGGAGAAGCCTCCGGTGGCTCGTTAAAAGGATGAATTAACAGTCAGAAGACAATCAGCCCTGAACCTGCTTCATAAAGGGCCGTTGCACCACATGTTGCCCCGTAAGTCGATACCCAACCTTTTTACGTCCCCCGATCAATTCACCACATCCAACATCCACTAATGGAAGGAAAGATATGAACGTCGCTGAAAATCCGTCTTCCCTGCGTGGCGGAGGTGGACCGCCGTTACATCCAGCCATTTGCTAAAGTGTTGGGGAAGGTGGGAGGGGCCTTGGAGGGGGGTGAGAGTGGCCACTCCAGGTGGATTACTTTATCCTGATATATCAGGGCAGCTGGAGTCAGTAAGTGGGGTACTGGATGCATCAGGAGCGCTAAAATATGGCTCTGCTCTTGGTGGGCCCCGACCTCAACGCCGCCCTGAATAAATCAAAAAAACCACCCATGAAAGCCGGAGAGAGGGATGCAGAAAGAGGGGAAGGGGGAGGTGATGGGAGGAAGGTGGGGAGCGGGAACGCCACACCATAAACGATAAGTGGTGGCAATCTGTTGGTCCCAGCTAAGCGAGCAACTTCACGGCTCATTACCAATCAAGCTCCTCCGGTCGGGAGCGCTCCGAGAAGAGGAGGATGAGGAGGAAGCATCAGATCAGCTACACCTCACTCCTCCGTCGCTCGATCGTAGTCGTCATCTCCAACCTCCAGGCAGAAAAAGTTTGTGTTTGAGCATTTTTCTTTGTTAAAACTTATTTTGGATTTCCAAAAAATAAACAAAAAAAAACCCAAAAGGGACCTAAAACCTCTTTTAAAATGTCGTCGTTCGATCCTGGAGAGACTTGTGTCAACGGTGATCTACGGGGATGTTTAAAATAAGGCAGAGAGCAGAGCGAACATGACGAGATACATTTTCCAAATACACCTGATGGTTCATGTCTGTATTTTAAAGCTACACCAACACACCAGATGTCACAGCACAACACATTACCAAAACAAAAGGCTTCCCACGGGAGGACCGAGACGTGCAGGCAACACGGAGCTGCGAGACAACCTCCTCACTTTTCCGTTTTTTATATATTTAGTGAAGCTAAGCGTGAATATGCGAGTGAGATGCCTGCAGAGTCGAGCCAGTATGCAGATTTCATGTTTCTGCTCTTCTAGTCTGTTAAAAGTCCCAGTGATGGAGAGAGCACGAGCAGAAGCAGCGGGAGAAAGGGCTCGATGATTCTGTTCGTAAAAACCCGATAACGCTTCTGTTTACACGATTCCTCACGCCCTCTTTGGATCCAACTAACTCTGGGGCTGCGCTGTGACTAATAGGATATATTTCATATCAATTTGCAAAAATAAAAGTGGTATTCTTTTTTCTTTCCTCAGACAACGACAAAATCCTGGATTCTTCATATCCACAGAATCCTCGAGAGGAATCCTCGAGCTCGCCTTTCCTCCTCCTCTTTTACACGTAAACTGCAGTCCGCGAGATGACCGAGCCATCCCGCTGGGACTCCATGTCATCATCCAGGTAATCTCCAATCATGTCGCCCTGGTCATGAGGGCGCAGCTGAAGGATCGAGCTTCCTCCGGGGAAGTGGTCGTACCTCTCGTCCATCTCATCAAACTTCCTCCTCTCTGCTTCGTCTAATTCGCTGCTCAGCAGGATGTCCTGGGCGGTGGGCGTCACGGCGCCGACTTCGGGCCGGCCCCCTACAGTGAGAGGCTGGTGGTGGTTGTTTTTCTCTCCGAGGCCCTGGTGGGAAGCGCTCTCGTTGTAAACGTAGATGGGGCCGTTGTTGTTCCCACCCGCGATGCCGCCGCTCCCCGCTCCTCCGCCGGTTCCGTTCTTGCTCGCCTTCTTGCCGGCGCCGAATATGCGCGTCTTCATGTCGCTGCCACCATTGGCTCGGTAACCCTGCTGCTGCCTGCGGCTACGGGTGACGAGCACGGCAACGAGGGCCGCCACCAAAAGGAGGGCCAGCAGGGAGCCTATAACGGCTCCTGCCACCACGCCGGCGTTGGAGGGGTCTGGCGAAGGCTCTGTGGGAGGGAGGAGAGGCAGGGAGGGAGAAAACGGAAGGAAAAGGAGAGAAAATGTTGAGAGAGAAGAAGAAAAAAAGACACCAGAAGAGAGAGCAGTGGGGAAAAAGGAAAAAAGTAGGGGTAGGGAGATGTCAGTGGTGCTGGTGTGAACTTCATTCGGTCATGTGTGTGTGTGTGTGTGTGTGTGTGTGTGTGCTGAGCTTCCTGCTACACTGACAGTTTCTCCCCTCCCTTTAGGCTGCTCCTGTCCCCTTTTTACCACAACCACATCTTAACAATGCCTCAGCCACGCTCCCCAACGCGCTGCCCTTCGACAGCCGGGACCCGTTCAAGGCTCGCCACAAATCACAACACGAGGCGGGGGAAGGACACTCAAACACACACGTGCAAGCATGCAGGCATTAACACACACTTTTGGGTGCGGCGGAGAGCAAAGGGTCAGGAGCAGAACGAGTGGAGATCATGCAGCAAGAAAGGAGGAGGAGGAGCAAGGTGGAATGAGATGGAGAGGAGGAGGAGGAGGAGTGGGCGGATGGAGTAGGTGACACAGCAAAATGACAACTCTTCCTGAAGGCTGTGAGCGAAGAGCAGGAGTGAGGGGGGTGACAACCCGGACACCCAGCTTCGTTTCCATGAGGCGTCGTTGGATCGTACATCCATTCTATTTAAATCCATGTTTTACTTCAGAGTCCAGAACACCTTGTTCCACATTCAGACGTATAAAGGGTTCATTTAACGGCTTTGTTAGGGAACAAACCCGTCTGACTTGAGCTAAACTAGGTCTCCACCATCACACACACAAACTATTTGTGCGGCTGTGTGCATAAAAACTCCAGGGATAAAGAAGATGAGTCTAAATCAGGGCTGCTTAGAGCTCCCACATGACTCGTCAGCTGTATGGTTCATCCCACTCCCCCGATGCCTTCATCCGGCAATATTGGAGTTGTTTTTAACTTGACTCAACCGTTTTAAAGCCAGAATGGGAGAGTTGGGATGTTTTCAGAGCTTCTGTGGAAGAGTTATGAACAAATAATATCTTATTGGCTCTTAGATAAAACCTAAATCTGGACGAACATTAGCAGAGAATAGAATTACCAACTTTTAGCAACTAGAATAAGGAACCTGGAATGGGTAGGGTGGTGCTTTAGACGTTCTGATGGTGTGTTTAAATCAAATTTAGCTGTTAGAGACACACACACACACACACACACACACACACACACACACACACACACACATACACACACACCGTTTATTAAAGACAAAGTTCACTAGATTTTTCAACACATCTGCAGTCCTCTCTAGAATAAATGCCTGGTGAGTTTACCACAGTGGGGTAAAAAAGCTCTGGCGCCCCCGTTTCAGGACGTAGAAGTAGAGCAGTGGTGAGCAGAAAACGGCAGGGATTTAGTGCAAATAACCTCAAACATGTTTTTAACTGCCAGAGAACTGTTATAACTTAGAGCTTTTACATTTAAAGGGGCATTATGGAAGTTTGACACCAAAACATGTATAGAAATAATAAATGTCTTCTTCATACATTCTCCTGCAATGCCCTGGTCCTGTAGAATGAGCCCTGGCATTTTTACTGTGATTGCTTGTTTTTCTGCAAAATCACAGAAAAAGAGAGATGCTCGGGTCGAGCAGGCTGCTTCATGCGCATTCACGCTCAGGCATCGCCCGTAGCATTTGCTATCCGTAGCTTTAGCAGCAGAGAGAGAGGCAGTGCCACTTTGTCGCTGTTCCTAACGCCTAGTGACAAACCTAGCTACATTTCTGAGGACCCTTAGCTACTTTCTGTAGAGCTTTCTTCTAGATATTTCCTGCAAATTAGCAACAAAATAGCCATTTTCGCTCCGAACCGTTCTTTGGTTTGACGTTTCAGCTGTCATCAAGGATATAAATGTTACAGATACTGTTAATGTTACTGTAATGTAGCTCACCAAGTAAGATGTTGGACTTTTGTACGGAAGACCCGGGTTCGATTCTGAATGTGAACATAGTTTATTTAGAGTTTATTTTTTACATTAATGGTATATTTTTTACAGTAAGGTGCCCAAATTTTTATTTGAGACTCGCCGAACGGCATTGAATTCACAGATAAAAAAGATGTGGGTTCAACTTTCATTTTGGAACAAATTTTCAAGCAAGGGAAGGGAATGATCTGAGCATGCAGGAGGACTGACCCATCATAAACCTTTGTCGGCTGTGCTGAAGAGAAAGGTACAGAACCAAATTATTTAATTAATTAGCTGCGTGTTCTCCTGTCCTCTGTCCTCTGACACACATACACACACACAAGGGACTGTTTCAGCTGTTATTTTCGTTAAGGAGTGTGCACGTACAGCATGTGCGCCTCATGCACGAGCCTACTATTGAAGCTGCCGTTACGCTTTTGGCCTGAGGGGGCAATCACGAGCATAAAAATTCAAAACTCCGTAAAGTCCCTTTAAAGTTGCTTCAGACAGCAGGATTTAGTCTTACTTCCTGATATTTGGAAATCTCATCTCCGATTGGCCAACACCAATGTGACCACCACTGACAGGTAGAGTCACAGCTGTGGTCCCCCATGGAGATTTTCTGGGGGCGCCACTGTTCTGAATCAACTGTAATCCCAAATATTTAATGGCAGTTGATGTGACTGCCCCCCAATATTTTAATTTCTGTCAATTGTTGCATTTATTCCGGCAAAAACTAACAGTATTTATTGCTAATTTAATCAGAACTCATTTGTTTCTAAACACTGAGGTTGTTCAAAAAGCCACCTGAACAGGTAAGATATTAGTAATCCTGACCGTTCCACACGTCCCCACGTCAACAGCTCAGCTTTAAACTGCATGGGATTTTTATTCCATTATGAAAGTGAGGAACCTGTTAGATATGCCTCACAATAAAACATTATGGCTTCTTATAAATGCTTTCCTGCAAAAACAATAAAATGCAACCATTTTCATACAATCACATATAAACGAGCTACGTTGCATTTTAGTAAAACGTAATAAAACGGCGCCAGCTCTACTAAAAAAAAGGTTTGGTAAAATCCCAAGAAGAAATAAGTATTTCTGCTCCGCAAAGGCTTGTTTCAGGTCATGACTTTCAGACACTGAGGGTTGTGACAACTCCCTGAAAACAGAGTCCGTGGCCGCTCTCCTCAGTGTGGTCATCGTCTATTACCGCGTGGGCTGGGAGGCGGGGTTGTTGGCAGTACCGCTGCCAGATGTAATGTTGTTTGCAGTCACCGTAGTGTGAAGTGCTTGGAAGAAGGAAAAAACCCTCCAAACGGCTCTCGTTATGCAGCATGGCAGTATGTAGACAACATATCAAATGAGTCAACTTCAACAGGAAGGATGAATACATTCAAATGTCTGCCGAGATTTTATTTCATAAGCCGTTTCTACGGCAACGTGTAATCTTTGGAGATTTAAATAGTAAGCCTAGCGTTTGGGAAGGAAATTGATTCTGTGTGTATATTATTCCTACTTTTAAAGGATTCGAGGCATTTGTGCCACTGATTCTTTTACTGCACTAGAAATGCTTTCATGTTAATCCTTCAACCAAGAACAGCGTTGCAAAGCACCTTGCTCTGGAGCAGAGGTGCGTACTGGCAAGACTCTGATGGTACCATCGGGCCGGACAATAACTCAATAACTGTATATATCCATCAACAGACGTGGTGGGATAGAAAAACATGGGTCAATAAAAGGTTTCTTTTCTTTTTTAGCCTAAAGGGTAGCTTAGTCATTAGTTACTCGCAGCCAATCAAAAAGCCAGACCCAGGGATGCTCCATCACCAAGCCCTCCCCTCTGTCCAGAACAGAAAACACCTGACTTTAAAGAGCAAGTCACTCCAAATCACCATTTTTTTTTGCTGATAAAACTATATAAATGAGTGTTCAATTGTGCTGCAGACAAATGTAGTCAATAATTCGGCACTTTAGTGCATCTTAGTTCAAATTTAAATATTCTGCCTAGAACTGTCGTCAGGCAAAAACTCAGCACTGCATTTGAATTTAAATCTGCCATCGCTACTGGCTAAGAGGTACACTATGATGTTAGATGGTACATTATGATGTCACAATGTCATGAGTGTGTGTATTTGTTAGAGGCTCCGCCCTCTCGGTCTGTTAGGCAACAGCATTTGTTGCATTTTTCAAACAGGAAGTGGGAGTTGAGTAAGAATCTGGCAGGGGGTGACTTGCCCTTTAACAGCACGCAGCAGCAGAGAGGAAGAGGAAACTGTCCCAGAAAAAGGGGTTAAACCAGCAAAATTTAGATTTTTTACAACGGTCGTTTGCTAAATTAGCAGAGAATCAATAAAAACCAAGCTAGCCTCGTCGTAAAGTAACGACGTATAATGGCCAGGGCTGCAATTAACATGTCATTCTACAATTGTCTATAGTTATAAATTATTACTGATATCTGACAATTTGAATTTTTTTCTTAATATGCTTTTCTTCCACATCGTCCAGCCCTACGATACGATATTTATCACAATGCAGGGGAGACCATCTCGATGAGCGACGCTCACCTCGTAAGCGTAAGGTTGCAGGTTCGAGCCCTCGCTCAGTCTGTCACTGTGATTGTGTCCTTGGGCAAGACGCTTAACCCACGTTGCCTGCTGGTGGAGGTCGGAGGGACCGGTGGCGCCAGCGCTCGGCAGCCTCGCCTCTGTCAGTGCGCCCCAGGGCAGCTGGGGCTACATCGTAGCTCATCCCCACCAGGGTGTGAATGGATGAATGACTGATGTGTTGTAAAGCACCTTGGGGGGTTCTAGGACTCTAGAGGGTGTTATTTCAAATACAGGCCATTTACCATTACTATCTGATGTGTCGCAATACTAAAAGCCTGGTGATATTTGCATATGCTGCGATATTTGACTACCTGATACTGATGCAGACATGTAGAGATCGAGGTCACCCGATGGCCGTCACGTAATGCTGATTTTTTTTTTTGTGGACGTTTTCCATCTTGTTTGCATGTCACCAATTACACTGGAT